CCTGTCTGAATTCCAATCCCCACCCCAGGCTCCCTGCCTCCCCAGACCAGCCCCTCGCCCCCACCCTTCATCTCCACCCTAACCTCACTACAGCCACCTCCACCCTCAGTCCATTGGCAGCGGAGTCAGCCTGGCGTGGGGAAAGAACAAGAGATGAGGGGGCTAAGGGGGCAGACGTGGCTCCCAGGTTGGCTCTGCCACTTACTATCAGGTAGCTTTGGGCAAATCTCTGGACATTAGTTGTCTCATCTATAAAGTGGGTCCAATAATACCTCTCTGGCAGGATTAATGAGACAATCGTGTGGAATTACAGCTGTAAAGCTGCTTTCTTAAGTCTAAAATGTCACTTGTTATCATTAAGCAGTGTCTTCATAGGCCCCAGTTAACAGGCGCTGTGTTGCTTGGTTCACCCACTTAAGTGGCTCTGGTTAGCCTCTGTCCCCTAGGGCCCTCTAGGGTCTCCAGGGCCTCTCCCCACCTTGAGGCTAGACTTGGGGCCCAGAGTCCAGGGAATCAGGCTATGGCTCCCGCTGATACTCCTATCCTTGCTGCAGGCCTTAGGGGCACATCCCCCAAGGCTTGGACTATGGCCGCTGCCCCTTTGTCCTCAACGGAGGCTCTTCTTTGATGGGGGGCTGTCTGGCATTTGGGCATCAAATCTGAGTTTGGGTCAGCCTAAGATAACCTCTATGCCAGTCTATCAACTTTCCTTTTGCCAAGGAGGCATCGCCATGCCCCCAGATGGGGGAGCCAAGCCCCTGCCTCTGGCACCCATGCTCCCTGCCCTGCCCTTGACTAGCCAGGCACCTGGTAGAGAGGCGGTGCCACAATCTGGCCTGGACCACAGCCTTCCCTCCCTAGCCCCCACCCCTCACTTGAGTCACTGTTCTAAGTTTGCCCTGCTCTAGGGCTCCTGGCAACCTACCTGGAGAGGCATGAGGCAGGCTCCAGCCTGACAGACATGTGGCATTCTCTGGGCACGTGCCCAGCCCATGTGTTACCCCAGGAAGAGGCGGGGCTTGGTGCCCAGAACTGCCAAGGTGGCTTCTGCATAAACCTATTGTGATTCTGGCAGCTTCTTCAGGCCTGCTCTGGCCTTCAGCCATTCCCCTGGAAGGGATGGAATGAGGGTCTCACTCGCAGGGCCCTAATGGTTGCTTATTAAAGCCTCAAAGAGGTGGCATTTTGACAGCGGGTCTAGGTTGTGGTTCTCCTGGCAGAATCCAATCCCATTTAGATTTTCAGACAATTTCCCTCTTCATTTTCGCTGAACTTTGAGCTCCTTTGAGAACAAGGCACTGGTTCTTGCTAATTAATTCTGCACCAGTGGCAGTGAGATGGATGTGAGGGGGGCTGAAGAATGGTTGGGGGGTAGAGGGCAAGAAGGTTGGGCAACAAGAGGGGTAGGACCCTGAGAGCCAAAGCGGAACCCCTTTTAGCTGGCTTGGACCCTTGAGGCTGTGGAATTTCACACAGAGGAGCTGGGTTGGGGGAACTAGGCTGTGGAGTCCAAGTTGAGAGGGATAGCTCAGGACAGCCCAGCTTGAAACTTCAAAGCTCCTTGACCATGCAGATCGCATCTTACTTCCTCTTCCCCCCAACGAAGTCCCTCCTTGTCCCAGGGAAGGCCCTACCTCCTTCCCCTCTCAGCAAAGCTTCTAGGAGAAGCTTTTTTATATACAGGGGCATCTCCACTGTCTTACCTGCCATCCTCTCCTCCAGCCACTGGCATCTGTCTCCAGCACCTGCCATGGTCCAACCCAGGGGCTCATCACAACTTTCTCCACCCCCCAGACCTCCCTGCAGCACCTGCATTAGGGATCACCCACTGCCACCTCTTGGAAACTTGCTCCTTTCTTAGGCTTCTTTGATGCTGCGAGATCCAGGCCTCCCAACTTGCTGGCCCTTCTTGATCATCTCTGCCTCCTTATTCTCCTTGGCTACTTAAACAGGCTTAGCCCAACGGCTCTCTCCCCCTCTGTCTCATGAGGACCTCACCCAGTGGCTGGCAGATGGTTTTAAAATGTTCCCTGGAATTTCCTGTAGCCCTGAATTTCCCTGAGCTGGTTTGTGTAACCATGCCTCCTGCCTTTCTTCTTGAATGTCCCACAGACTTTTCAAACTCACCAGAGAATTCCTGATCCTCTACAAAAGCCTGCTCTTCCTCCAGGGCTCCTTTTTCCCTCAGCTGCCAAAGCTGAAGACTAGTAGTCGTGTAGACTCCTCGCTGCCTTGCTGTTTCCCATCTGACCCAGTGCCAAGGCGAGTTCATGCTCCCTTCTTAATATTTCCTGAATTGCTTCCTTCTTTTCCTCCCCACTGCTAGTTCCTGTGCCTGAAGCACCAACCTCCCAACTGGTCTTCCTGCCTCTAGTTCCTTCCTCCTTCCAGAACACTCTGCTGCTCAGGCAACCTCAGTAGCTCCCTGTCCAGTCCAAGTTCCTCACTTGGCAGCCTGGTCCCTGCAGACCTGGCCCGATTTTCACCTTGTTCTCATTGTAATTTATGCTGATCAAAATGAACTATTCCCCGCTCCCCATTCTTGTGCCTTTGCTCCAGCTGTTTCCTCTGCCGGAAATATTCTCCCCACCTATTTTCCATCCCCACAATCCAAATCCTGTCCATCCTTCAAAGCTCAGATCAAGGCCTCCCCCTTCAGGACCCGCCCTGGGTCCCTACAGCCATGAGGACTTCCTCCCTCTTTGGATCCCCAGTGCCACCTGGATGCTCTTGTCTCTCTGTATCCGTGTTGTTTCATGGTGATTCTTACCAGAAAAACACACCCAGGTCTGAAGGTGGCGTCTCGCTCAGATTGCTTGGTGAGGAGGAAAGAGCCATGTTGATCTAAGATGAGGCTACATTTGTTGTTTTGGGGACCCCCCCTTTCTTTGTAACCAAACCTCAATTTCCCCCCAATCTTAGTTCCCATGCTTCAGGCAGGGCATACCCTTGCTCCAGAAATGGAGCCCTGGAAAAGGATCTTCTGTACCCAGACACTTGGGGTTCAGCCTTGTCCCCTGGACTTAGCCAATCAGTGATTACCATTCCCGGGGATGGGCCAATCAGAACCAAAGAACACCTGAAGACTTTTGCTGGGATTCTAGGACTGAGGTGTTCTCTCTCCCACAAGCTTGAACCAGAATTGTTCATGGGAGAAAAAAGAGGCAAGAAATGGAGAAGGAGAAACTGGATTCCGGGAATGTTGTTTGAGCCTGTGAATCAAGCGGGCCTAGAGCCAGCCCTGCCCTCCTGGACCTTTCATTTCCGACAGGCAGTAAATTCCCTCAAACCACCTTGGGTTGGGTTTTCTCCCTCGTGCATTACAAAGAATCCGAACTGGTCCACGGGGTGAGAAGAGGGGAGCTCCCGGGTGGCTGGCTTCTGGGTCACCTTCCAGGAGGTCACGGAGGCCATCCTCCCTTGGCTCTGTGGCGTGGCCTGCTGGCACCCCGAGGTCCACAGGAGTAGATGAGAACCATCTGGGCTGCTGCCTGAGCCTGAGGCCATGGGGTAGGCCTTGGCCCCTGCAATGTGGACACTGAGCCCCAGGCCCAGCCAGAGAGCCTTGAGGGCTTCTCAGGGGGTGTCAGGCTCCCACTAAATGACACAGAAGGACCCCCCAGGTTCTATGAGTCACTGGAATATGGGAAGGGGGTGGAACATTCCCAGACCTTTTCAAGGGGAGCAGTCAGTGCAGGGAAGAGGCCCAATCTCACCTTTCCCAGGAGCCTTTTGGGAATGCAGCTGGAAACAGCTGGAGCAGGGATTGCCTGGAAAGGAGTACAGGAAATGGAAAGTGCCCGGATGCTGTGGCACAAGAGCAGGACCGAGTGCCCTGGGAGGAATAGGGGGTAAGAGTCGGAATGTTCTCCCATGATGAAGCCTTAGGGAAACGTTCCTGGCCTCTCCTCTGACATGATTGGGGGACTGGAATAGGTAGAACTGAGGTGTGAAAACAGGGAAAGCTGTAACTTTCAATTGAGCCTGGGAGGAATCACCCTGTGTGTGGGGTTGAAATGGTCACTCAGGGTCTGCCTTGGGGAAAATACTGGGTGCCTATCTGTATAAGGGTGTTGCATCAGAGGCCCCCCCCCAGGATGTGTGCTGAGAGCTGGGGGTCTTTGATAAGAGCTGGAGAGTGATCTGGCATCTGGAGCAGGGCCCAAGGCAGACAGATTGCTGAAGAGGAGCCTAGCGTAGCTGAGAGGGGTCAGCATGAGGGCAAGAGTATTGGGGTGAATCAGAGAAGAGGGGGCAGGAGGCTGAAGGAGCCCTCCTTGCCTCAGCTTTTCTGTACCCAGACGCCTTGGAGCTCAGTCTTATCCTCTGGCTTTCTGCCCACCAGCTGCCACAAACCTGGAGAGGATCTGCTTTGCATTATCAGAGGAGCCGCCTCCCCGGGGCATATGGTCAGCAGACCTCCCGGCCTGGAGCATCATGGGAAATGTCTTCTCCTGACCCCAACTCTGGCCCAGCTCCGTCTTCCCCTGGAGCACGGGGTTACAGGTTCAGTGGCCCCCACCACACCCCTCCCCACTGGATGAAGAGGCCTTTCACATTGTTCCAAGTCTCATCTCAGCTTCACTGCACTGGATGAAAGAGGGGAGGGAGGCACTAGGGGAAGAGAAGGGGCTCTGATGGGCCAGTGAAGATAACGTGTCTCATCCTCTAGCCTAGAGAATGAAAGAGACAAAGAGGTTTCCTGGCTTGAGTGAAGAGGAGAGAGGCCTTGGGGGTAGGGGTGGAGTGGGAAGGGAGAACTATAGGCCTGGAGTCCAAGGAGGCTGATGACACAGGAAGAAGCAAGGGAGCATCTGATCTCTGAGCCTGGTGTTGGCTCAGAATGAGCCCCTGTTCTGGAGAAGCTCTGGAGCTCTCCGATGTGAAAGCCACAGCCACGTGTGGCTACTGAGCCCCTGAAATGGGGCTAGTCCAAACTGAGATGTGCTGTAAGAATAAAATACACCCTGAATTTTGAAAACTTTAGTAGGGAAAAAAAATGGTACATAGTTCATTAACAATTTTAAAATATTGATTACATGTTGAAATAATACTTTGGACATACTGCACTAAAGGCAATACATTATTAAGTTCATCTCATCTATTTCTTTTTGATTTCTGTAATGTGGGTAGTAAAAAATTGAAAATCACATATATCACTTGCATTCTATTTCTACTGGACAGTCCTGCTTTAAAGCGCGTCATTCATTTAGTCAACAAAGTTTTATTGGGCGCTAGCTATATGCCAGGCAAAGTGCTAAGGATTAGAAAGTGAGCAAAGGCAGATCCTGTCTCTGGTTTCCTGGAGTTTACAGTAATCAAATAATCACTCAGACGGGTGCCTAATTGCAAAGAGAGATAAGTGGTCTAAACAAAAGGAGTGGCACATGGTGTTCTCTGAATCTAGAATCAAGAAACCTGATTTGGGCCCAGAGTATGGTGAGGGCTTCCCCAAGGACGCACTGAGCTGAGAGGTAACTTGGGAAAGAGTGTTTCAGACAGAAGGGGCAGCACGGGCCAAGGCTTTGTGGCTACAGGGAACATTGAAGCTTAAAGAATTGTCAGATGGCTGGTTTGGGGCAGCACAGAGAATGAGGAAGAGGGTGGCTGGAACAAGGCAGTGAGTCTGGAGGAGTTGACAGGGGCCTCATGCAGCCCTCATTAAAGACGGGAAACCCGTGAAGCATTTTCATTAGCCCTCATGGGGGAATTGGAGAAGGGCAAAGAGGGTTTCTGCACAATTTGGTGGAGGTGGGAATGTGCAAATATTTAGTATGATGTCTTTTAAAGCTCTCTGTCCCCCTAGAGCTCTAGGCCCGTGTCAGTCACCTCTGTACCCCCACCCCCACCCCCACCCACTCAATCCTTCATGCTCTGAGGAGCTTTTTAGAATGCCTTCTTTTCACCACCCTTGTGGTCCTTCCTTTCCTTCAGGCCACTAACCACCTCCCAGCCTATCCTGCCACACCCTCACCTGGCACACTGCAGCCACAACTAGTGCTTTCTAAACTGGAAATCTCTATGGCACCCCCCTGCTTAAAACCCCTCAGTGGCTCCAGTGTCCTAAGCATGTACTGCAGACACCTTAGCGTGTCTCTTTATAAGCCCTTCTCCATCTGGCCCCACTGACCTCTCGCCCACTCTCTGGGCTCCAGGCACAGGCGCTTCCCCAAACCCATGTGCTCTGTTCTCTCTCTTCAGGGCTTTTGCAGAGCTGGTTCCTCTGCCAGGAACACTCTCCTCCCCTGGCTTGTTGACTCCACTCATCCCTAAGGGCTCAGCGTCAATGTCTTTTCTAACGAACCTTCCCTAACGCCTTGGAGGGGTGGGTCTGGACTGGGACGCCCCCCTTCTGCTCAGCCCTAGGATGGCACCGCACACCTTAGAGGGCCCGTCTGCTGTCTCCTCTGCAGAATGTAAGATTGCTGAAGACAGGCATTTGCGTCTCCCTTATTCCCACAGGCAGCGTCTGGCTCCCCTGCACCCTCCAAAAAATCAGAGGTGTTTCTCCCATCAGAATGGGGTTCCTTTAGGACAGCCATTGTGCCTCCCTCCTCAGATGAGAGGTATCCTCAAATCTGGGACTGTGTCTCCCCATCAGATGGGAGGCCCCCTCAAGACAGATGTTATCTCCCCATCCCACTGTGTGTTATCCAAGTACCAGGATCATTTCTCCCACTCTCCGTAGCGCCACCCCCCCTTCCTCAAAGCCTCACAGTCTGGGGCTGGGAGATGGAAGACAGCTGCCCCTCACTCTTGGCTAGGGCCTGGCTGGCCTCTCCCAGGATCCTGAGATCAGGAAGGCTTGTTTGCCATATTTTTCCAGGAAGACTAAGCCTCCTGTGCCTTCCCCAACAACCACACAAGCCAGCCTCACCAGAGGACCTGGCCAAGGGCTCAGCAGTGCCTGAGCAGCTCTGACCAGCATCCGGGCCAAGCCTTCGAGTGGAGAACAGGCCTGGGGCTGGGAACCATGCAGCCCTGGGAGCTCCCAGGCATGAGCCAGGCAGGGCTGAAATCCAGGCTGGCAGAAACCGGGTTTGGGACCTGCCTGGGAGAGCCACAAGGGAGGGGCCTGCCTAACTCCAGGCTGGGGCAGCCATCTGGAGCCAGACAGAGTGTGTGTGTGTGTAGGGGGGGCTGTCTCCCCGGCCATGTGGGTGGCTAGGAGCTGTGGGGTTGTGACCTGGCCCTCCTAGCAAGCCTCTGGCTCCCCTGTGGTCAGTTTCACTTCTGACATCTGGTCAAGTTCACAGCTGGCCAGCTTCCTACATGGCCATTTTCACTTTCCCTTTCCAAGATCTGGGGGCAAAGGGCCCCCACTCCTTCCCCATCCTACTTAAATTAACTCCATGGCTACACATGTGAATTTGCTGGATTTCTGTTAAAACTTTCCCACTTGGGGTGTGTGAAGGGAGGAAGGGGAACAGGATAGGAACTGAGTTGAAAATTATACCTGGGTCCCTGCCACACGTATAGCCCCCACCAACTCAAACCATGTGCGTTTCCAGAAAATCATTGCGCTAATTTTCTTTCTTTGCTATTTAATGTTCATCATTTATGTTTTATGTGTAAGTTTCAGGAGGGCCCAAGAAATGATTACACAGGATGCAAGGGGAAGGTGTCAGGGAGTCTGGAGCTCACAGCCACCAGCTAGGGGGCCGAAAGGGTTCCATCTCGGCCCAAAGGGAGACAGGTGGGGCCCCAGAACCAAACACATGCTAAAACATACTTGCCACCCCCCAGCCCCCTCCCCAACTGCTGGGGAGGGAAATAAATACACTCAGTCCTCTCCCAGGTGCACAGGTGAGGAGCCAGCAGGTGAGTTTTTTCCTCTCTTCACAGATTGAAATCAAAGAAATGCCATCTACATACAATGTTCCCAGTCCCTTACTCAGGGTTGGGAGAACCTGGGCAGGGGAGGGGGTGGCTGTCAGTGCACACCTTGCTTGGGGCTCGTTCATGCTAAATAGAGGGGGAGCCACACTCATTCCAACATCAAGCAAAACAGTCCAGGAGAGACCTCCAGGCCCCTTCCTGGCACCAAGCTACGAGAAAAACAGTCCTTCGTAGGGTCTTCTAAACTTAGGAGAGACCCTCTAGGGGCTACAGTCTCAGTTCCTTCTTGCTGCATTCCCACACTGGTCCACTTTTCTTCATCACAACCTTCTGGGCCCAGCCAAATCCATGCCTGCAGGGAAGAGGAGGATGGAGGGGAGCAGGCCCTTGGAAGACAGGCGCCAGCTCCAACCTCAGTCGTCCTTGGCCCGCCAAACCCGGGGGCGAGGGAAGACAGAGAGCAGAGTTCAATTCCCTGTGATGCTTCTCTGGCAGCTGCCCCAGGCAGGATCCGGTCCCAGCCCAAGAGAAAGAACTTGTGGAGAAAAGATTTCAAATCGTGTGTGTGTGTGTGTGTGTGTGTGTGTGTGTGTGTGTGTGTGTCTGTGTCTGTGTTGCAGGTGGGGGGGCTCCTTAGTCCCTGACTGACTCTAGGAAACAGTACTGCCTGAGTTGGCTCTGGGTCTGTACTGGGATGGAGGGTATCTACAGACTGGGCCACAGCACAGATGCCACACTGACACACCTGAGGGGGACAGGCAGAGGGAAGCAGCGCCCCTTTCCACAAATTCCAAACCTGACTCGGGTCATAATGGATCAGTGGACCCGGCCTGGGGTAAAGTATCCCGTCTCCACTGGGGTTGGACAGGCCTGGAAATGGTGGAGGGTGGACAGGATTTGGCTACAGGATGTATTTCCCAGAGGGTCTCCCTGGTCCCCCTCTCCTAGCCCTCAAGCAAAACTCAGGCCTATGCTCCTCATTCAGAGAGGAGGGGGCCAGCCCACATCCGGCCACCACACTGCTGGGTGGCTTTGGGCAAGTCACTGCCTCTCTCTGGGCCTTACTGTTCAGTATGTAAAATGAAAGGGTGGACTAAATTTCAAAACCCCCTCCCAGCTCTGTCAAGCTTCTGATCTTCTTCATCTTAGGCCAGAGGGGAGGCCTGAACGGGGCTGAGGAAAGGTTTAGGCAGCGATGGTGCTCCCTCGGTCCCCAAGTTCACAGTGTAGAGTCCATGGCTCTGGTTCCTTAGTCTCTCCCTCTGAGTCTCTGGGACCTTGTCATCACCTCTAACACCATCCCTCATGTCAGCCCCTCAGGTATGACACCTGTCAAGGTGGGAAGGCCTTGCCCACCTAGCAGTATGGGGAGAAGGGAACAAAAGGCCTGAGATGGTGAGGGGACAGGGACGGGGTTGGAGAGGCAACAGGGGCACTTCCGGCACTGGAGAGGGAGTTGATCAGAAGCGGTGGGGCCACACGGGAGCAGTGGCAGGGCTGTGACTTAGAGGCCCGGGCTCCGACGCCCTGCCCCGAGGAGCTCAGCTCCGATGCTGGCCCATGGGGGGTAGGCTGGAGCGTCAGTTCTCGGAATGTGGGGGCAGGGCAGGGGTTCCCAGGTCAGCTCACACGGGGGACGTGGCAGTGGACTCGCTGCACAGGCTCTCCACAATGTCGGCTCGCTGGATGCGACGTAGGGCGGCCAGGAGGGCTTCGAGCGTCGCGCTGTCCTGGGCGGCCCAGCTGGCGAGCAGGGCATGGACCGGGCAGGCCTCGTGGGTGAAGGAGTCTATGTGTTCAGGCTGGTAGCCCAGCTCGCCTGCCAGGTGCCGCCAGGTGTCCCCCGCAGAGCCGTTGAGCAGTTTCTCCACCTCCTCCCGCTTGGCCGGTGGCAGGCTGCTGTAGAGGCCTCCATCCCCCTTGAGGGCTGCCAAGAACCCAGGGGAAGTCAGACACTACCCGCTGGGCCCCCTTCCCCCCACAATGGGCCTGGGGTAAGGCCCGAGAAGAGGCATTTGTCCTCCCAATCTGGGAAAGCCCTGAGGGGCTAGAGCAGCGGTTCTCAACCTTCCTAATGCCACGACCCCTTAATACAGTTCCTCATGTTGTGGTGACCCCCAACCATCAAATTATTTTTGTTGCTACTCTACAACTGTAATTTTGCTACTGTTATGAATCGTAATGTAAATATCTTTTTGTTTTCCGATGGTCTTAGGCGACCCCTGTGAAAGGGTCGTTCGACCCCCAAAGGGGTCGCGACCCACAGGTTGAGAACCGCTGGGCTAGAGGAAGAGGGACGGCCAAGGTGAGATCCTGGATGGAGAGCTGGGGGGATACTGATTCACATCCCCTCCCCACCCATAGCCCCAGCACTATGCCCACCACTAGCCCCCACTCCCTGCCCCCCAGCAATTAAGGCAGAGGGGGAAACAGGACTTCTCAGTCCCAGACTCAACTATAGCAAGCATCCTGGAGCTGGGCTAGGGGCCACTAATTAGGAGACATAATTAACTACTTGTTCCCCAGAAGTCCAGGGCAGAAGGCTAATTGCAGCCACTTGGGGGAGTAATTAGCCCTAGGGGGGACAATTAGCTTGATGAGTCTGGATGCTCCAATCTGTCAAAGCCTCCCATTTCTCAAGTCACTCCACGGGAAAGGACCTCCCCCGCCGCTTCCCTCACCCGCTCTCCCATCCTTCTAACCAGAGGCACCATTAGTCCGCCCCTCTGGCAGTCCTTCCTGTAGTCTAATCAGAATCACTCCTAATGGCTCTGCGTCAGCCCCTTGCCCAGCCTTGCCTCTCACCCTGGCCTGCGGCGGTCTGCGTGTGGGACTGCTGGTCATGTAGGCTCTGGCTGTCCACAGAGATGCCGCTGTCGCTGTGGAGTTTTTCTCCCTCGGGTGGGGGCGTCTGGTTCACAGGCCGGCTATTGGCTCCTTGCTTGTTCTGCTTGCAGCTATTCCACCTGGAGCCAGAGGACAGGCCCAGTCTCAGGGGGTGAGGGACCACTATGGCCATGTGGCTAAGGTATCTGTGCTCTTGAGGGCAGAGTGGCAGTCAGGGTTTGTCAGGGTTTGGTGCACACGGCAAGTGTCCAAAACATGCTCATGGAATCAATGGTGCATAAATAGCTGACTTCCCAGGAATTCCACTTTTCCCAACCTACCCTTGTAAAATGCTCGCACATGTGTACAGGATATATGCAAGGACTTCCTCTGCTATTATAAGCAATAAGAAAAAACAGAAAACAAACCAAATGTCTATCAATAGGAGACTGGTTAAATAAATTATGATCCATCCATATTATTGAATGAGTGGTTACAAATGATCAGATAATCTATATGTCCAGAGGAAAGCTCTCCCGAGGGAGATTATGCGGAAAAGTAAGTTGTAGAATATGTATAATGTGATCCAATCGATGCTTTAAAAAACCTGTGTGTTTACATATAACTTAAAAAGTTTTATGTACATGTGTTTATAAATGCACAGAAAATGGCTAGAAAGGATCCAAACGGATTCCAATGAGGAGATAGGTAGGATTTGGGGAGGTAAGAGGGAGTTTTTGCTTTTTGCTTTACAAGACATTACTCTTGTTTACATTTCCCAAACAAGCATGTATTACTTTGATCTTTTTTTTGTTTTTTAAGAAAGAAAAATGCGCTTAAACATTTAAAATGCTTTCCAGGAGTTCTTGCACATCCTGGGTTTCTGGATGTGGGTGTCACAGCATCCCCAGTGTGACATGGGAAGGCAAAGACACATGCATACACAGGTAACTGTATGGGTTCAGGGATTGAAGACACAGGCAGCCAGTAAAGCAAGCTTTCTGTGTGTAGTTGGGGGCCAGGGAGTCCAGGAGGGGAGCAGCATGGGAACGGGGCAGTGCTGGTGCTAGGACTGGACAGGGACAATGCCCCTCCCTCCCTCCTGCTGACCTGCCACCCCCTGGACTAGGGCAGCTGATGGTGAGCGAGGATGAGCTTGGTTTGAGTTAAAAGAGAGCATGCATTTTCAGGTCAAAGTCACAGTGAAACCCCACCTGGAGGGCAGTGGTTCTGCTGTCTGTTCCCCACTCTGTCCCCTGTCCCCCTTCTCACCTCTTGAAGGCTATGTAGGCCACGAGGCCCACAACCACAGCGGCCAGGATGGAGCAGTAGACAGGGATGAGGTTGTCAGTGGTGCCTCGAGTCACCACGGGCTGAGAGCTGCCCATCACTGTGGTCACCACATCAGCCACTGTACTGGCCACAAGGTCTTGCTCTGGAGGTACCTCGGGCTCCTGGGTGCTGGGGGCCGTGCTGTCTGAGCCCTCTGAGGGTGTAGACCTTGTAATCCAGCGGCCAGGGATCTCTGGGAGAAAGGGTGACAGGAATGAGTGCCCATTCTCCCCAGCTCCTCCCCTTCTGTTCTGACCCAAGTTCTCAGCCCGCTCCAGATGCTCCTGTGCCCAGCTGTTATGCACAGGGGTGAGGGCTGGGATCGTGTGCATGTTACGATGGAGGAGAAGAGCAAGGGCCTGCGAATCAGGAGGCCTGGGTCCCCTTTGGCTATGTTTCTATGTGACTCTGGATCCGTCCCTTCACCTCTCAGGACTTCCACTTCCTTAGCCATAGACTGGGGATATTAAGAGAGATGGCCAGTAAGCTCCCTTCCATCTCGGAGGTAGCTGTGGTCCTAGAAATCTGTTCTGCCTCCCCTGGGGGCCCAGAAGCCCAGCATGGAGGTAAACACACAAAGAAGAGACAGTGGGCCCCAGGAAGCCTTCAGCTGGAACTACGCTAAGAAATGTAATGACTCTGGCCCTCGGTTGCCCCGACGACCCCAGTAACCCCTGTCCTGGAAGGATAAGGGTGCTCAGGTCCATGCAGGCCCTGCCCCACCTCACCTGCCCAGAGCTGGCACTCAGCCTCCTTTCTGGTCTCTGATGTCCTAGCTCTAGGCTGGGGGCTGAGGGGCTGGGTGGAGGGGAGGCCTGGAGGCCTTGCTTACCTCCAGCCAGTCCTTGGACAGCTGTTAGCCTGTTTCTTGCCCTGCGTGGCCCTCACACAATCTGATCTTACCACCCAGGGAAGACAGTGTCAGGTAGCCCAAACCCTCCCTGGGAAGGAAGCAGGCTGCTGGTGGAGAGAGGACCCACAAAGCTGGTACTGCCCAGCACCTCGGGGCAAGGAGACTGTGCCTTGCCACCCACCTAGGCCCTCTCATGCCAATAGGGCATTGCCAGCCTCCCTGGAAGGGGACCCGCCTTCTCCTAGCACCAGTGGGCGGGATTTTCCATTCTGTCACCCAGCTGGGGGCAATAGGCTCCCGGATTGTGGGCTCTGGATGGCCTGGGGGTACCTGTCTGGGCAGAACTGCCTTACTGCATCCGTCCTCACTTCCCACGCCTGGGGCAGGAAGGGAAAGCAGACAGGACATGCCAATGGGGTGATGGGGAAGGCACTGCTCCCCAGCTTGACCTTACCCAAACCCCAATTTGCCCACCCAGGGTGGAGTCAAAGCGGCCTACTGGTCTCCTGGGCCTCCGATCAAGACAAAGATGCTTCAAAGGCCCCCGTTTTCAGCACCTTCTGAGGGGTAAGGCCCCCAGATGTGAATCTGGAATCCATCTGGCTGGCACTGGGGAGGGGGCTGCCACTTCCCCCACCCCTCCCCATGTCAGTTCTGGGAGTGGGTGGAGGGGGTGGGGTTGGAAGTAGCCCTGGCTTTTGGCAGCCCCACATAAGGCATTAGGGTTCTCCTCTTGCCCTGCTAGGGGACGGGGCCAGCTGGAGGAAAAGCCTGAGCTCTGAGAGTTACCCCAACCCACAGGCTAAAGGTATGGAGGGGGGGCGTGTCGGTGAATCAGGCCATCACGGAGATTTGAGAGCAGTGAGGAAGGGCCGAGGGAGGGTGGTAAAGGACAGACCAGGCTGAAGACAGAGCTTTCAGGGCCCTTTCCCCCATCTCTCCAATCCCCCATGATGGGGGGTGGGGGGATGAGATCCAGATGTGGCCATGTCCCCTAGCATTCCAACCTGCTGAGCCCTTGGCAGGTCCTGACAGCCGTTTCCGGAATGGGGGCTGCCAGACTTGGGGGTAGAAAAAGGGACCAGGTTACTCCTCCTAAACCCAAATTTCACTGGGGCAACGGGGTGTGTGGAGGGGCTTCTAGCCCGAGGGTGGGTAAGTCACCATGTTGACACCTGAAATGTATATATGCAAGAAAGTACAATGCACTGGAGGGGAGGGGGGCCACCAAGCCAAGAATCAAATTCCATTTCCTGAAATGTTCCCTCTGCCCCAGAGCTGACATTTAACCCTTCAGAGGCTAGAGTGGAGAGGGGCAGAGGGACAGGGGTAAACAGCCCTCAGGGGTACCCTCCTCCTTCAGGGTGGCTAGGAAAGTGGGGTGGTACCTGGAAGGAACCTGTGAACTTCCCAAAAGGCAGAGCCCACCCCTCCCCCAGCCACCATGTTTCTTTGCTCTAACCTCGCCCCTGAGTAGGTCCCCCACCAGCTGGTCTGGACTTGCCCATGGAACTGTGCCTGCCTGCTGCCAGCTGCCGAACTTGCCTCCCTGCTCTGCCCTGCGTCTGACGCCACTTGCCTGTCTCCTGACCCAGGGCAATGGCCACTAGAACCACCATGTTCTATACCCCAATCCTCCTCCCAGCCCCCACCCCCACCCCCACCCCAATGCAGGAAGCTTTACACACACATCCGGCCTGAACCCAGCTTAACAGTCCTCTCCACCATGAGCTCCCTGAGCGAGAGATCATGGGACATGGAAGGAAGGCGTGGCTACGTGGGGGCTAGTGTCAGACTGGAGGCTCCCCACAGAGGGGGTCTGTCTCCCCCATTCGACTGGGGGCTGAATGAAGGCAGAGGCTGTGCTGCCTGCACCAGAATGGGGGATCCCCTAGGAACTAAGTGTGGGACCTTGTCTCTCTCATCAGACTGGGGCAAAGGCTGTCTCTCCTATCTAACTCGGGATCCCCTAAAGGAGGTGCTGTGTTGCCTGCTCAGGGTGAGGGGTACCCTGAGGGTTAGGGAATTAGCTAACTGGGTGCCCAGTCACAGAGAGATGGAGAGAAAGCAAAGGCACTGTCAACCTCCCCCTGCAGCGGAAAAGCTCACCCATTGCCTCAAGATACGAAGGTGTCACCAACCAGAGACTGAAACTGTTCTGCTCTGGCTGCCGTGGTGCTTCCTCCTCCCATCCCAGGAACTGCCCATATCCTTGGGGCCCCTGCCTGGATAAGGTGGGCACATCCAGCTCCTATTCACCCCGGGGAGCTAAGCCCTCCATGCGCACCCTGCCTCTTATCCTCAGGCTCCTAGGCCCCAGGCCAGTTGCTCCCCTTCTTCCTCACCCCCAAAGCCCCGCCCCCACCTTCTCAGTGTTCACTGGATCTACCATCAACCTTGACTAAACTGTAACAAAGACTGTTGATCCCTACCCAAACACCACAAGTTGAAGTGGGCCAGCCACCTTCTCTAACCCACAACAACACTGGGAACCACATGACCAGTGAGGAAACTGAGGTCCAAGGCAGGAGTGACCTCCCTAACGAACATCATTCATCTAGCAAATGACAAGGCAGATTCCATCCTAGGCCCCAGAGCCATAAACCACCACGGGCGGAGGCCAGGCCTCAGAGCCAAACGGTTCCAACTCCTGAGGGTTTCCTCAAGACTCTTTTCCAGTTCAGAAGGTCTGCCTCAAGAGTCAAACATGTCCTGCTCTGTGCTCAAGACACAGTGGTCACTTTCCAGCTGCTTATCTGCAGCCTATCCAATCCCCAGCTGGCAGCCACAGAGTAATAAAGCCCTAGAAAATGAGTTAGAATGTATAGCTGCAGCCTGGGGGACGATGAAGGCTTTCCAAACACTTAGCCCAAATGAGGAAAGAGTAAAAGGGGGCCTTTGGTGAGAAAGATGGGGAGCCACCTATTCCATCAGGTTTCAGAAAGGGTGGCCCCGCTAAAGGCCACACCTGGCCCTGCCCACCCTGGCCCTAGGGAGTGCCTTTTCCCAGCCTGCAGTTGTCCCAAGGGAGCGCCCTGCCCATCCCCCACCCCCCAGGCCTGCAGGTGGCCCTAGGGAAAGCCTCTTCCCAGCCTGCAGTTGGCCCGTGGTTGCTCACCCTCGCACTCAGCGTCGGCCCAGCGTGTGCATTCCCGCAGCTGGCGCTCGGTGTCCTCACACACAGTGCAGGGCAGGCACGGGTCCACATGGTTGGCCTCGTCTGAGTACGTGCCATCGGGACACTCCTCGCACACGGTGTTCTGCTTATCCTGGCAGGAGAACACGAGGCCCGAGCCTGGCTCGCACACGCGGCACGCCTCGCAGCTGCCGGTTGCCTCGTCCTGGTAGTAGCCGTAGGCGCAGCGGCACACTGCGTCATCCGCTTCCACGCACGGCGCCGACATGCTCTGCAGGCCCACGCACTCCGTGCAAGGCTTGCATGGCTCGGTGGCGCTCACCACATCGGAGAACGTCACGCCTGAGGGCAAATGGATGAGCGTGGGAGCAAGGGCCAAGATTTTAGTTGCCTGCCCTTTGGGCTCTTGGGATACAGGGGCAGCAGGCCCTTCCCACCCCCCTCTACTCCCCCCGCCCCCAAGCAGGGCATTGACTCCTTGCTTCAGCCTTGCCCACCTCATTGACCCCCACCTTTCCCCCTCACGTCCCTGATCCCAGATCTTTGACAGCTCATGGCAGCCGGCTGGGAAGGGGGAAGGGGGCCAGGAGCCACGTGCTCCAGGCCGCGAAATGCTGGCTCTGAGGCTTTGCAGGGTAACCCAGCTGATGCCTGGTAAATTTCTTGGCAAATTCTCTTAGAGAGTTCCCAGCAAGATTGAGGGATAATCTGAGCGTGGTTCCCACCCAACCCTCCCTGCAGGCCAGAGATGAGTTGTGAATCCAGCCCACGCACGCACAGGGCCTTCACGAGGGAGCTTTCACCTCAGCTATCCAGCTATGCCTCTCTGCACAGCTGGAGGCTCAGGTGTGGCCTGAACGGGAGTGACCTGGGTTAGACAGAAGTTCCCACCCATGGCTCTCCTCCACACTGCTGAAGGACTTGGCTGTCTAGGGTGGGGATGGGAGTCCTCCTGGCAAGCAAGTTCAGGTATAGCAGGAAGGATGGAAGCTAGAGATCAAGAAGGACTTGCGTACATCATCCTCTGCCCTTTCAACGGGGGTATTTCCAAGCTCACTACCTGACTCACGCTCTTTTTTTTTTTTTTTTTTTTTTTTTTTTTTTTTTTTTTTTTTTTTTT